AAGGCCATTCCATTTGTGGTATATTTCTTGTCAGAGTGGTACTAGGTAACCAGAACAGAGTCAGTCAGGGGAGAATAGAAGGGCTGTGTGTGCACAGGGAGACGGTTCAGAGGGCAGAAGTGCATGGGAGGGAAGGACACAGGGAAGAGGTAACTATGGGGAGAAAATAGGTGGAGAGCTGTTGCATTGTGGGAGGTTGCAGTCAGTGTCATGAGACAAAGTATATGTGAACTGCTGTATGGAAGATGAATTTGCTCTGTAAACTTTCACCCAAATCACAATAAAACTTTAAAAAAAAAAAAAAAAAAAGTTCATTTCACAGTCCAAAAGGTGGTTAAGAGCAAGGTGCCTGGTTCCAGAAGTTTGTGCCAGCCTACAAGGAGTGGAGTCAGACTTTTTGTCCCAAAAGATGGCTAGGTGCAGGGCCCCTGTTCCTAGAGGAAGTTCCTTCCATCTCAAAAGGTGGCTGGGGGTAGGGCACCTGGTCGCAGAATTAGTTCATGTTGGTCTGGAAGACAACTTGGGGCAGGGCACCTTGTCCAGGATGGAATTTCTACCAGTCCAGAAAGTGTCGGGATGGGGAATGGCCACACCACTATTCACTGGGAGGGTGTGAGTACAAGGGGAACAAGGGGAATATTGCACTTTTCTGGTCACCAGCCACCAGTGTGGGTGCCCATGCAGTCTTCATCAAGTGGTGCTGATTATTAGGTTGTTTACCCAATCATAACACCCCTTGCAAATATTCAAAATGGACACACTATTAGGCCAGTTGACAGTCCACAACTCCATTTGTCTTCTTATTCACTGTTTTCATTCAGTTTCTTCTACTGTTTGGTATTTCATCCACCTCTTTATCCTTTCCTTTGAAATAATTTCAGGATTACCATATCTGTTTCAATTGGTTTCTCGTTTCTTTGTTGTAGAGGGTCTGGTTAGCTTATGTGCCTATTCTGCTATCTTGCCAGAAGTCCCCTTTCTAGCCTCATCTCAGACCTCACCCCTTTGTCTGTCATGTGCCAATTACACTGACCTCTTCTCTGATTCTTCAAGAGGCCAGGCTCCTGCCTGACTCAGTGCCTTGGACTTGCAATTCCCTCTGCCTAGCACATGCTTTCCTTAGTTCTTCATTAATGACTTCTCATCCTTCATGTCTCAGCTCAACTGTCATACTAGAGAGCCCTGTCTTACCCTCTTATCTGAAGTAGGATGCCCTGATTCCCACCAATTAGTTACATTCTGTTTTATCACTTGTTTATGTTCCACAGAGTACTTATTGTCTGACTCCACTACACGAATATAAGTTCCATGATGCTAGGGACCTTGTCTGTGTTATTTGTTACTGTGGCCTCAGTACCTCATACATTGTAGGCACTTCATAAATATTAGAGTTTTGTGGCTCAGCTGAACTTGAAGCAGGATGTACAGAGAAGGCACCCCCAGAACACTGGAGCAGGCATGAGGTAGACATTTGACCCTGAGTGAATGAATGAGTGACTGAATGAATGCTATCTTAGGTATAGCTCAGATGTATAGCAAATGGTTAGAGTTCTTAAATCCATTTTGAGGCCCACTTTTATTTATTTTTATTGTGATTTGGGTGAAAGTTTACAGAGCAAATTCATCTTCTATACAGCAGTTCATACACATTTTGTTTCATGACATTGGCTGCAATTCCCCGTAATGTACCAGCTCTCTTCCCATTTGCTCCCCTTAGTTACCTCTTCCCTGTGTCCTTCCCTCCCATGCACTCCCGGCCCCCTGAGCTGTCTCCCTGTGCAAACACTGCCCTTCTGTTCTCCCACAATTGGTAGGAGTGTATCTACCTAATGTAAATGTTAACCCCATATTCCTATCTATTATTTGTCTGGAAGCCAAAGGAGTGAGTTCAGTTCTAGACTTGAAAGGTAACTAGGGGCCCTAGTCTCAGGGGTCTCACCAGGCTCTCTCAGACTAACAAACCTAGTCTTTTTTATAATTTTGAGTTTTGTTCCACATTGTTCTCCCACTCTATCCAAGATCTCCTGTGCCGATTCCCCTCTGAGTGGTTGACAGTGGTAGCCAGGCACCATCTAGTTCTTCTGGTCTCATGGTGCTTGAACAATTTGTCTTAGAAAGATCAGCACAAGGCCGGTCCCCATGAGGCGGAGGTTAAAGATGTCCAAAATATCCAAACTACCACGCCACTCCATCATTTCAGACATTAACTCCTCCTCCTCCTCTCAGTAATCTCCCCCATCTTAGGGTTCTGTATTTCACTGTAACACCTCACAGAACTCACAGACACCCAAGGGATTGTCTCACGTAGTGATGGAGGCTGGCAGGCTGGCAAGTCCCAGGTCTGTAAGTAAGTCTGGAGGATCCTCCAATTCTTAGGGTTTGACAAACCTCAATCAGCAGATCAGATGACAACTGCTGTCCTAAATCCAGGGGTGAGATGACGATGGGCCAAAATGTAGAACCAGAGCAAGAGGAGGGCAAACCTTCCCAGAGAATTCATAGGTACACCCTCAAGGAAGCTAAGGGTGGTGATTTGAGTTATACTCTCCAGCAAGCTAGGACTCAAGATATATCCCACCTGTGTTGCTCCAACAGAAATAACCCAAGTGGATGGCTTTAATGATTAGCAGCTACTCAGTTGCTCACAGCAAATTGCACCACAGAGCCAATTACCAGTCATTATAGAGAATGACTACTACCAGCTGCCCAGCCAAGTTGACACCCAGCCTTAACTAGAACACCACCCCAAACAGGCATGGATAATAGGATTTACAGTACATCACAAAATGGAGGACAATGGCTAGAGGGCCACATCAAGCATTTCACCGCACGTGGTCATATACACTGAGGATCATATAGTCTACTAGTCCCTTGGACTAATTGTTTCCATGCATCTTTGGTTTGCTTCATTCTTCTTTGCTCTGGATGAGGAGAGACCCGTTGTTTCATCTAGATAGCCACATGCAAGCTTTTAAGACCCTAGTCACTACTCACCAAAGTAGGATGTAGAACAATGTTTTTGTATAGTATGTCACGCCAATTGAGCTATCATAGGCCTGAGCCCACAAGTCCAACTGCTCGCTCCCTCAGGGTAGCTGGCTGTGGCCAAGAGGTCACCACAACCTTGTCCCTGTCAGCTCTACTCTATACCCAGTCATTCTTACAGCACATACAGATAGATACTTGAGGCCTACTTTTAAAAGGATAATTTAAGGCTTTACATTTTATTGTCAAAACTATGCTTGATTTGTCTTTTAGTAAATCATTTCATGTGCTTTTTATGTTTTCTTTCTGTTTTATTATGTGATGTTTTTGGACCAAAAAGGCTGAAGGAACCCAAACTTGGACTGAAACAACTCCAGCAAGGTAATGCCTCCTCCTGAAGTTTTATCTGGGCCTCCAAGGTAATGCCTCTTTCTGAAGTCCTACCTAGGCCTTTCTCCCTGACATCTCTGAGTTCACAAGGCCCCAAGAAGCCAGTGAGAGATGAAGATAGGCACCCCTTCTCCCTTGAAGGACTGGCACTAGGAACTTATACAGACATTGGGCCATCTTCACCCAGCTGGTTCTGTGCATGGCCATGTGGAATCGCAAAACAGGTGGTCAGTTTTGAGGCCCTGGCCACTCATACACTGGCATAGTTCTCTGGAGGGCAGTTTGACAGAGTGTGTATCCAAAGCCTTAGCCTTGGGCTTGCTGTGACCCAGTGCTCTACTGGGATTTTATTTTAAAGAAAAAAAGGTATGCAAAGATGGAGGTACATGGCTGTACACTGGAACACTGTGTGTAACAGCATGAAATTGATAACAACCTATATGTACAACAACTGAAAATTGGTTAAAAACTCAAGATCTATCTGTGTATAAAAATGAAGCTGTAGATACCAAAATGTAAATCATACAGTTTTACCCCTGGGTGTTGGAATAAGGATATTTCACCAAAGGCATGGCAAAAAGGGTATGGTGGTAGCATCTGACCTCCTCTAACTTAACAAGAGGAGAGCAGGGTCAGCACAAGGCTGATTCCTATGAGGCAGAGGTCAGACATGCCTCCACTCTGCAGTCTCTTTACCAATTCTGACACCAACCATCCATCCCAGGCACTCTCTACTTCTCTGCTGGGTTTAATAATTTATTGCAATGGACACACAGAACTCTTACACAATAATCATAGTTATGGGGTTCATTAGGGAAGTAACAATTCAGGATCAGGAACAATTCAGGATATGATTCTTCTGTCAGGGCAGCTGCTTCTCTCTGGCCTCAGCTTCTCAGCCCTGCAGCCCATTGGCCTTTGCCCTGCTAGAGCAAGTATTACAAAGCTCTTTTAGTTCTGCTGGTAGATGTCCAGAGAGGCACCCCACTCCTCCAGCAAGCTCCTATCCAAAGGCATTCAGATTTCTTACTCTGTGGGCCAGGAAACCCACTACTCTTGTCTTGTGCTGGTCTCTTGGTTCTGTTGCCTCTGCTGCCACTGTTTTTGTGCTGCTGTCTCTCACTGTCTCACAAAGTGTTACAGCTCTCTGTCTAAGTCGAGAAGGTTCTGCACAGGGATCTCAAGTTCAAAGGTTGCGTTCCACTCCTGGCTCTTTTTTCTTTATGGTAGTGAGATTCACCTTTCTGCCTCTGAGATGGCTCATTTAAGCCTAGCAAGATGGCAACACTGACCAGTCCCCACATTTGGGTTCTATATACCTTATTTGCATGGTCCAACCCCCACAAGGGTGCCATGTACCCTGTTTACATTATTAACAAGCTATTCAATCCCTTTGGTGGCCACAAGCACTTCACATTTATGTAGTCCCACTGAGACATCTGGTGGCAGTCCCAAAGACCACAGCTAGAAGGGCCATATTAAGTAATTCACTGCACCGCAAGCATATATTACTTTTGTAATCAGGTTAAAGAGTAAAAGTTATTTGAAAATAAAATAAAGCCTCTGGATATGAGAAGGCATGATACATTTTTCACCTCTTTTTTTTTTTTTTTCAGGTCAGCCTTATGGCTATTCCTCATGAATCAAGTGAAGCTTCCTATTTGCTGCCTCCAAACAAGGAGGACTGGGAAGAGCGTGGCATTCCTGACTTTGTCTATGGGCAGGAGGAACTCCTGGCTGAAGGGATTCAGTGGCCCAGGAACACAGCTGATGTTCTGAGGGCTCTGCCACTGTCTCGCTTTGACTTTGCAATCTGCTCCGCCTGGAGGCAGCGGATGGAGCTGGGCCTGTTTCGCTACCACCTGGGGGAACTGCAGACCCAAATCCTCCCTGGTGCTGTGGGTTTTGTGGCTCAGCTGAATGTGGAGCGAGGGATACAGAGAAGGCGCCCCCAGAGCATTAGGAGTGTGAGGCAGGCGTATGATCCAGAACAGTTTAACTTCAACAAGATCCGACCAGGAGAAATCCTCTTTCGTCTGCACCGGGAGCCCAATCCAGATGGTGCTCTCCAGCAAGAGGATATCCTTGTGATGATCAATGTCAGCCCCTTGGAGTGGGGCCACGTGCTGCTGGTTCCCGAGCCTACTCGGGGGCTCCCCCAGCGCCTGCTGCCAGGTGCACTGCGGGCTGGGGTTGAGGCTGTGCTGCTGAGTCTGCACCCAGGCTTCCGTGTTGGCTTCAACAGCCTGGGCGGCTTGGCTTCAGTAAACCACCTGCACCTGCACGGCTATTACCTCGCCCACAGACTACCTGTGGAGGGGGCACCAAGTGAGCCCCTGGACCCTAGAGGCCATCTCTATCTGCTCCAGGCCCTCCCAGCTCCTGGCTTCCTTTTTTACACTAGCAACCCGGGACCTGATTTGGAAGCCTTAGTAAGCAGGGTTTGTCGGGCCACAGACTACCTGACTGACCATGAGATTGCACATAACTTATTTGTGACCCGGGGAGCCCCACCTGGAGAGACATCACCTTCCTCAGCCCTCACAGGGGTCCGCGTCATTCTCTGGGCCCGAAAGTCCAGCTTTGGGATAAAGGAAGGTGAGGCTTTCAACGTTGCCCTCTGTGAGCTGGCTGGGCACCTCCCTGTCAAAACATCCCAGGATTTCACCAGCCTGACAGAGGCGGCTGCTCTGATCCTTATCCAGAACTGTCTGCTGCCTCCAGCCCAGACAGAAGAGGTCCGGGCAGCACTGGTGGCCCTGGTGGCCCAGGAGAAGCAGTAATCCTTCCCAGTATATTTATTGTCCACCTGATCTTAGTCCTTTTCCAAAGGCCTGTCCATATAGCCAGTGGGCATTGTCATACCTTCTCACTTGTCTCAGCCAAAAGGGAAAGGGTAAAGAACTAGTAAATGGTCATTAAAAGAGAGAAACGTTGGAATAAATCTAACAAATGAGCCCTCATGGTTTTTCTGCTGCTTCTCTCCTTTGTCCTTTTGCCCCAGAGATCTCAAACCTATTGTTAAGAACAGAGTGTGTGTGGAAGTTACACACTCCTGACTTTAAAGAAGAATATGATGTTGACTGGGCTTTCTTTTCATTTAATATCAGATCTTAGGACAGTGGTAGTTTATGTGCCTCGAACATGTGTGCCTCCTCCCCTTCAGTCTGTTCTGAGCTCTCTGCTTGTTCTCCCTGTGCCCACCACTGACTGTTACTTCTTTGTCCCTTCCTTACATTCTGCCCTGCTCCATTCCTAGATGCCTTGTGTCACATCCTTCACCTACTTGGCCCCAACACTGAAAACAAGGTGTCAAAGTTACAGGTCCCATTAGTACCCCATTTGTTATTGTTGTTGTTGTTATGTGCCGTCGAGTCATACCCGACTCATAGCGACCCCTCCTTGGGTTTCCGAAGCAGTATCACTACGGAAGCAGGATTGCCCAACTTTCCTTCCGAGGAGTGGCTGGTGGGTTTGAACCGCCAGCCGTCTGGTTAGCAGGCAAGTGTCTTAGCCACTGTGCTACCAGAGTACCCCATTTAGCAAATGAAAAGATGAAGGCTGACAGATTTAGTAACTAGCCTGAGGTCAGATAGCTCATAAGTGGTGGAGTCGGGACTGGAGCAGTTAGGCTGCAGGTAGTCAGACTCCAGAAGCTGAGCTGGGACAGTGTGCACTTGTGACTGCCCTTCTAGTGAGTGGCTCCCATGATGCATGGTGCTATCCTTAACAGGTCATGGGTGGTGAGCCACAGCCAGCCCTCCTGAGGTCTTTCCCTGGCACTTCACAACCCCTCCTGATGTAGGTCCCTCATAAAATCCACAGCTAAGTCCTTGCTCCTCCACTTTGACCTGAGTCAGTCTGAGAAATTTTTTATCTCATCACTTGTTCTGCCCTGTTATGCCAGAGCTTTCCAGACTGGTTCCAGAAGAGGTGTTAATAGATGATATTGTAGAACTAAAAACGAAACTGAACTCACTACCATCGAGTCATTTCCGATTCATATCGACCCCTCCTTGGGTTTCCGAGGCGGTATCTCTATGGAAGTAGATTGCCCCATCTTCCTTCCTAGGAGTGGCTGGTGGATTTGAACTGCCAGCTTTCTGATTGTAGGAGAGTAAAACAAAAAACTAAACCTGTTGCTGTTGAGTCAGTTCTGACTCATGACAACCCCGTGTATTAGAAAGCAGAACTCAGCTCAATTGGGTTTTCGGGATTATGGTCTTTACAGAATCGGATTGACAGGACTTTCTTCACAGCACCCCTGGATGGGTTTGAAATGCCAGCCTTTCAGTTAGTAGCCAAGTTAAAATGTTATCTCCCACCCAGAGACCTATTGTAGGAGAATACTTATGTGTAATAAAGCCCATTCCCCTTGATGTTCCCTTGATTGTTGTTACACAGCTGTGTTAGACTGGGTTCTCTAGAGAAATAAAACCAGTAAAGCTTATATATATAGAGAGAGAGATTTATCTTAGGAAAATGGCTTACACACTTATAGAAGCTGGCAAGTCCAAAGTTCCTGGATCAAACGTCAAGCTGGAGGCTTTTCCACGTCGAGCTGGAGGCTTTTCCCGACTCTTGCAGCCACAGGGGCTGAGGAGCTCAGAGCTGGCAGGCAGTACACCGGCTGTTGACTCCAACAAATAACGAATCTGGGATCTCCAGGCCGAATGGTGGATTGTTCACTCACGGACAGTTGTAGGCAGCACAACAGAATCCCGATCCACAGAAGAAATGCCTCTCTTCCCAGGATGTCCAGAGATTTACTGGAAGCAGGCCACACCCCTAGGGAAACTCCCTTTCAACAGATTGGCCACTGAAAACATAGTCATCTGATCCCATCATGGGAACAACCACACCAAAATCTCTCAACATTTATGTTGTTGTTGTTGTTGTTGTTAAGTGCCGTCGAGTCGTTTCTGACTCATAGCAACCCCATGCACAGCAGAACGAAACACTGCCACAGTACCTCAAACCACACAGAATTGTGGTCCAGCCACGTTGTCACACAGCTCCAACTATCACAACAGCAAAAGCAAGGGACACCTTGTGTCTAGTCTCAACAGAGATGATCTTTACTGCTACCACTCCAGCCCCAAGCACCTTGGGGAATAAGAATCCCTGCTCATAGGTGGAGGTTCAGCAAAGGCTCACATAAGTGGATACTAGCTGTCAGCTGAAAGGGCTTCCTTCTGGCCAGCCTAACTTTCCAGCAGAGGTTTTGACTCCTTTCTTTTGCAACATGGGGGCCCTAGTCCTGTAGGAAGCATTTATGTAGAATTTTAGTCAGAGGTTTTATATCCCAAAAGATGTTACAAAGGCAGAATTCTGGACAAGGATAAGGAAGAATATACACTTGTAACCCATTTAATAAGAAAAACAGCTTAATAGTCTATCAGAATTTTTTTGTTACTGTCTTAGTTATGTAGTGCTACTATAACAGAAATAACACAAGTGGATGGCTTTAACAAACAAATTTATTCTCTCACAGTTTTAAGAGGCTAGAAGTCTGAATTCAGGATGCCAGCTTTAGGGGAAGGCTTTCTCTGTCAGCTCTGGGAGAAAGCACTTGTCCTCTTCCAACATCTGTGGGCCCAGCATTCCTTGGAGACCTCCATGTGTCTTGGCATCCGTCTTCCTCTGGGTCCAGGAGTTTCTCAGCTCAGGGACTATGGGTCCAAAGGATGTGCCCCACTACTGGCTCCTCTTTCTTGGTGGTCCTGAGGTCCCTCCTCCTCTGCTGGTTTTTCTCTCCTTTTATCTCCCCACCCCAGAGAAACTCCCTTACATTGGATCAGGGCCGTGACCTGAATAAGGGTGTTGAATTCCACCCTAATCCTGCCTCATTAACACATAGAGTTCAGGATTTACAAGACATCACAAAATGGAGACTAATTAGATCACAACATGGAGGACAACCACACAATACTGGGAATCATGGCCTAGCCAAGTTGACACATATTTTTTGGGGACACGATTCAATCCATGACAATCACTCTCAAAGTTTTGGCGAGTGGTAACTTTGTCTCTTTCTGCAAGCCTTTGCATATACAGTTATCCCTCAGTATCCTCAATAGATTTGTTCCAGAACACCCCCACTGCACCCCCTACACACTCCCATTGATACTAAAATCCTGAGTGCTCAAATTCCATATATAAAATGGGGTATTTTCACATAACCTACATGCATTCTCCTGTATACTTTAAATCTCTAGATTACGTATAATATGTAAATGTTATGTAAATAGCACTTTACCCTTGCTCTTAACCTTTGAGGGATTCCTTTGACCACTTAATTGCTTTTTAGGAGCCATCCCCCACCCCAGTAGTTTCACTCCACGGTTGGATATGGAACCTGCAGATGTGGAGGGCTGACTGTACATGCTCTAGCAACATCACTTAGTTTTACTGGCTTGCTTTCTGGATGGATTGCAGATGATCATTGCCACAAAGTGAATTTTATGTCCAAGGTGATGAGTCCAAATACCAGAATTTTCCCACTTTCTTCCTAGGACTGATGTTCAGAGAAAATCTTCCCTTGGCCCAAATAATTTTTTCTATAAAAAAAGGAAAAAATGTCAAATGGGTTTTCTTTATGATGAGTACTTCTCAGCCATTTATATGACTTATGCATCTTTAACAAGGGGGTTTGGACTAAAGGGGTTTTTTTTTTTTTTTAGAGCTTAAGTATGGAACGCTTAGGGAACCCTCTGTACTCTGAAGCCCCAGTTAGGAAGCAGGGTTTCAGACAGAGTGGGAAGTCCTGATCCAGCCCTTTGCCTGCAGAGGGATAACCTCTTGAGGGGAGGCCTCATATGCAAAGGGATTTGAGGGCTTAATCTAATGGCAAACCTTTTAGAGAGTAATGGGTTTGTGTTTTAGGAAGAAAACTCAAGCTGCAAAGGGGAAGATGGATGGGATCAAGGAAGTAAGAATAGAATCAGAGGATCTAATTAAGAGACTGTCAAATACTGATGATTTGGGCAAGAAAGTGTGATAATACCGTTCCCAGAACACTGTTTGTTGAATGAGAAGAATGAATGTTGTAAAGTCAGGACTCAAGAACATTTCAAGGAAGGAGTAATTGAGAGATCCTGTGCTAAATGAAGAAAGATCAAGAAGGCTGTTGTTAGGTGCTGTCGAGTTCAATCCAACTCATAGAGACCGCATGTACAACAGAATGAAACACTGCCTGGTCCTGCACTATCCTTACAACCTTTGCTATGCTTGAGCCCATTGTTGCAGCCACTGTATCAGTCCATCCTTTTGAGGACTGACACAGGGTCTTCCGTTTTTCATTGACCCTCTACTTTACCCATCATGATACCCTTCTCCAGGGACTGGTCCCTTCTGACAACATGACCAAAGTATGAACAATGAAGCCTGGCCATTCTTGCTTTTAAGGATCATTCTGGCTGTACTTCCTGCAAGATGGATTTGTTGGTTCTTCTCACTGTCCATGGTACATTTCAGTATTATTTGCCAACAAAATTCAAATGCATCAGTTCTTCTGCAGTCTTCCTTATTCATTGTCCAGCTCTCACATGCATATGAGGCTATTGAAAATACCATGTCTTGGGCCAGGTGCACCTTCGTCTTCAAAGTGACTTAGAAATGGCCCTTTTAAAAAAAATTATTTTGATTTGGGTGAAAGTTTACAGAGCAAATTCACTTTCCATACAGCAGCACGTACACTTTGTCTCATGACATTGACTGCAATTTCCCACAATGCAACAGCTTCCCTCCCATTTCCTCCCCATAGTTAGTTACCTCTTCCCTGTGTCCTTCCCTCCCTTGCACTCCTGCCTCCTGAGCTGTCTCCCTGTGCATACACAGCCCTTGTATTCTCCCATGATTGATCTCTCCAAGGAGTGTATCTAGCTAATGTAAATTTTCAGCTCATATGCCTGTCTTTTGTTTGGCTGGAAGTCACAAGAGTGGGTTCAATTTCAGACCCAAAGGGCAACTAGGAACCATAGTCTCAGTGGTTTTGTCAGGCACTATCAGACCAGCAAACCTGGTCCCCCCTTTTTTTTTTTTTTTTTAATGATTTTGAATTTCATTCCACATTGTTCTCCCACTCTATCCAGGATCTCCTAGATAGATCCCCCTCCAAGTGGTTGACAGTGGTAACCGGACACCATCTAGTTCTTCTCATAGTCATATAGGCTGAGGATCGCATGGTGTTCCAGTCGCTTGGACTAATTGTTTCCATGCATCTTTGGTTTTCTTCATTCTCTTTGCTCTGGATGAGGAGAGACCTATCATGGCATCTAGATGGCTGCTTGCAAGCTTTTAAGATCCCAGTTGCTATTCGCCAAAGGAGGAGATGGAACAATGTTTTGTGTAGTATGTTATGCCAATTGAGCTTGATGTCCCCTGCGACTATGGTCCCAAGCCCATAGGTCCAACTACTCGCTCCCTCTGGGTAGCTGTCTGTGGCCAAGAAGTGACTATACTTTGTCCCCTGTCAGCTCTACTAAATACCTGGTAATTCTTACAGAACATACAAATACACTTGTAGAAACATTGTCTGGAAATGGCCCTATTTTCAGAAGGTAATTAGCCACACAGGATAATCTTCAAGTGACAAATTGGGTTGAGGATGGTGAAGGTGAGGAGCAGCAGTCAGACAAGTGAACGATGTCAGGAAGAGGAGGTGGCAGTGAAGGAGCACTCTGATAAGGCCTTTTTGTTATTGCTTAGTTAAGTGATTTGTCTTTTGACAGGGTGACCGCCTGGTCAGGGTGGGAACGTGTGGGCACATGTCCTAATTGCAGCTGTGTCTTCAGAGTGCAGAAATGGTTATCCAAAAATAGAAGAAAGGCAAGCAACTATTTATCCCGAACACACTTGGCCAAATTCGGGACTGGCCAGTAGGTTCAAGGAAGGATGGTGGGGAGGTGAGAATTGGCGTCAATGCGGAAGGACTACAAGTCCCATGATGCATCATGTCAGCCGCCGGGTAATCGGAGCGCAAACGTTTGCATCTCCCGTTCAAGATGGCCACGGCCGTCCGCCAAGTGGGTGGGGTTCTCGGTAGGGCCCCGCCCTCAGAACGCTTCTCCAATGGGGATGGCTCTGGTGTCCATAGCGACGGCGGCGGCGGCTGCCGGCTTGCTCTAGGGGGCGCCGCCGCCGCCGGGATCTCGCTGCTAGGAGAGAGCCCCGCGTGGGAGCGGGCTCCCTCTCGCGATCGACTGGGGCTGCTGGTCCTGTGGAACGAGGAGGTGGTCCTGAACGTCCAGCGACGTCCGGAGAAGGAACGGGAGCCGGGCAAAGGGCGGACATGATCGACCAGCTGAGCCTATCCCTGAGCCCTAGGGGCTGACCCAGCAGCCCTTCCATTCTTCTCGGAATATTTGGTGGGCAGTGTCCGCCGTGGGCTTCCCCTCGGCAAACAGAACCCAAGGGATCCTAAACCATTGGGCCTGGCCCCTGTGTGTATACGTAGAGAAACTGAGCCCTGGGACTGGGTAAGGGCCGGCTTAGGAGACCTTTGACCTTCAGCTCTATTTTTAAAAGCGAAAGTTTCCCTCCCCACACACACACACCCTCAACGCTCCCAGCCATCCTCTCCCCATTTAGCAACCAAAAAAAGTCATGCTTCTTGCCAGCTCTGCCCTGCATGTACCCAAGTGTGTTTTGTGGAGTGATCCTGAAAGATTGAGGCTTGTGATCAAAGAATCTGTATCTCAGATAGGCATCCCACGGCCCCTTCTACTTGGAAACATCTCATTCTGCAGTGGGATTGTTCTGAAGGGTCAAAAACATTCCCTGTAACACCACGAAGGTCCTTTGGGAGGATTCCTGCAGGCTTTCCTCACGCCTGAAGGGGAGCTCTGATATTATTTCACTCCCACCCACCTTCCCCTCAGAATCTAAGAGGATGGAGCTGAGTACCTGTAAAACTAGTGAATCGGAGGAAGACTATGCTGAAGAAGAGGAATCTGAGGAGGAATGTGTTAGAGGGGAAGATACCATCCCTTCTAACCCTTCTCATGAGGCACTCTCAAAGGCTGACTATAAGGCATTTGGGAATGGAATTCCCTTATCCATTATAGCCAAGAAAATTCCAAAGAAAATCATAGCCCCAAATGACCCAGAGGACTTAGAAGTTGGGAGAAGAAAGAAAAAGCGGAAACGCAGGTAACCATCTCCTGGACCCCCTTAATCATGGGTTCTAGAAAGTCACCCTCTGGTCTCCCCTCTGTGGTTTAGGGGCTGGGATCTAAGGTCCTCCTTTTATCCTGCAAAAGAAGACAAGGAATATGGGAACATCATTAACATTTTGGTAGCAAAAACAAATAATTAAAAAAATATTTGGGTTGGCCATTTGGAATTTCAGCAGGTATAAACTGGTTTTTAAGTGGCTTCCAGAGAAAATTCAACACAATTACATTGTGTTGAATTTGTTGGGCTTCTCTTCATCTGGGTGTCTGGCAGCCCAGGGTTTATCCTTCCCTCCCAATCTGCCTGATTTCTGTTATTCCTCTATTCCAGACCCTTAGCCATCAACCTGACCGACTGCAAGTATGAGAGTGGTAAGCAGCAGCTCGTCACCCACACCATTATGCATTCTTATTCTGGGGATGATCCACTAATCAGGCTCCTAGCTCCTGGATCATCAGTCAAGCAAAAGGGCTGGCCTATAATCTGTACTGATTATATTATCTGAACTTCCTAAGTGCCCCCCTGGCTTAGCTTCTGGCAGCTAAGACATCACTGTTCCAATTAATTTCAGTGGTAGTGGTTTAATAAGATTTAAAAAAATGGCCTTAAGTCACCACTGTCCAGCCCTTTCCAGAATTACCAGAGATGAGACACCAGATGAAGAGTTTTTTTGAGAAAACTTTGCAGGGCCTCAGCAATTTTTTTTTTTTTAATCACCAGCTAGATCAGCCATCTCCTTTGTCCCCTCCTGTTCATTGGCATCTCAGAGCACGAGACCACTCAGAGCATGAACCCTCCCTACAGATAGCTCTGCAGACCAGCAATGGTCTTGATTGAGATAGGGAGAAAACCAGGGTTGTTAGGAGCTGAGAGCCAGGCTCTAGTTTTCTCTGCTGCAGATTTTGGAAGGGCTCTGACAGCCTCATGTATTGGAATTGCCACACTACCTCCCTCTTCACCCTGTCCTTCCAGGTCTGTCCCAACCCAGCTAGTTCCAGGGCTTGGTGGTAGTACCTAGGCTGCCACTAGTGACCTCCCTATCTCTACAGTGCGTCGGGCAGCCCAAATGTGTGGCCTGAAGGAGGTGGGGGAGGATGAGGAGTGGAGTGTGTACTGGACGGACTGTTCTGTCTCACTGGAACGAGTCATGGACATGAAGAGGTTTCAGGTACCAACCTCCTGGTCCAAAGTTCTAAAGGCTGAGGCCTACTCCCACCCCTCCTGCTAAGGCACCTAAGTCTGCTACTCATGGCTGTACCCCAGTACAGAACAGGAAAGGCCACATCCAGGGCATTCTGCTCCAATGGAAGCCTTCTTTTGGGTCTCTGGAGCTTCTATTATCTGAAGAAAGTGTCTGTCTGGCGGGCACACTTTATCTCTTTATTTGCTCTCTTTGCCTGGAGATATCTGTGCCCAACTGGCCTCCTCCAGGGCAGGTGAGCCCATTTTAGGGACAAGACTGGGAAGCAGCTTCAGGGCTAACAGCAAGGCCAGGTGAATGACTCAGCCTCCTAAAGACCTTAGCCTAGTGCCCCACGTCCATTAAGAGACAGTGTGACATCCTGCCTGGAAGCAAGAAAGTCAGGAAATATGGACCAGGATCCATAAGAAGAATGTAACTTCTCCTGGTATTTGTTATTATCCTCTTATTGATCTTTGTGATGATTAGCAATAAAATCATTGAAAAGGGCCCATAAGCTTATTTGGGGTTGGGGGGAACCAGGAAGGGAGTTGAGGAGACTATAATCTGTTCCATAAGCCTCAGGAGAGGAACCCAAGAGAGAACAGGTGCTAGAAGCTTTCAAGAAACTTCAAAGAAGGGGCATGCAGGGAGCAGGTGTAAGTTGAAGATAACAATAGTTAACATTTATTTGAGGGCTTATTATGTATTAGAAGGAGCTCTGGTGGCACAGAGGTTAAAGCACTCAGCTGCTAAAAGATCAGCAGTTTGAACCTACCAGCCACTCTGCAGGAGAAAGATGAGGCAGTCTGCTTCTGTGAAGATTTACAGCCTTGGAAACCCTATTAGGCAGTTCTACTCTGTCCCAAAGGGTGGTTATGAGTTAGAATCACCTCAGTGGCAGTTGGTACTGTTTATTATATATCAGAGTCCCTGGGTAGTGCAAATGGTTAACATGGTCAAGCTGCTAACCAAAAGGTTGGAGGTTCGAGTTCACCCTGAGACACCTTAGGAGAAAGACATGACCATTGAAAGGCCTGACCATTGAAAACCTATGGAGCACATTTCAACTCTGACGTACATGGAGTCACCATGAGTTGGAATCAACTCCACAACAACTGGTTACTATAAATCAGACACTGTGTTAAATGTTTGTATATTCTTACCTCATTTGAAAAAAAAACAAAAACCTCACTGCTGTCGAGTTGTTTCTGACTCATAGGGACCCCTCCTTGGGTTTCTGAGGCACTATCTCTATAGCAGTTGTTGTTGTTGTTGTGATATGCCGGCGAGTCAGCCCTGACTCATAGCGACCCCTCCTTGGGTTTCCGAGGGGGTATCACTACGGAAGTAGGATTGCCCAACCTATAGCAGTAGATTGCCCAATTTCTTTCTAAGGAGTGGCTGATGGGTTTGAACCTCCAGCCTTCTGCTTAGCAGTCAAATGCCTTAAGCACTATGCAACCTCATTAAATCCTCAAAAACAACCCTGAGGGTCACATATCCCTTTGTTACAGAAAAGGACACTAAGGCTCAGAAGTACCAAGTTCACACAGCTAGCGAGTGGAAGGCCAGTGAGGGAGCACCTACTTATCACCTGAACCCAATGCTGCCTCCCAACACTGGACAGCACAGAGTAGCCAGGGATTTCCAGACCACCACAGAAAGGAAGCTCTGGTAGCGTAGTGCCTAAGGCACTTGACTGCTAACTAGAAGGCTGGCGGTTCAAACCCACCAGCCACTCCTTGGAAGGAAGGCTGGGCAATCTACTTCCGTAGTGATACCACCTCAGAAACTCAAGGAGGTGTCGCTATGAGTTGGATCTGACTCGATGGCATAACAACAACAGAAAGCCATGCTTTATGTGGGTTGACCAGAAGTGCATTCCCTAATGCTGGTTCTGAGTTTCCTTTTCCCTTTTGTATCTTTTGGGAAATTATTTTTAGATTATTTGCTTTGTGCTGTCATGAACTGATTGTCCTCATAGGACTAGTCTCTGGTGGTCTGTGGTTAGTTTCCACGGAGTGAATCCCAACTCATCGTGACCCCATGTGGTCAGAGAAGAACTGCTCTACAGGGTTTTCAAGGAGCTCTGGTAGTGTAGTGCCTAAGGCAGTTGACTGCTAACCAGAAGGCTGGTGGTTCAAACCCACGATGGGCTCCTTGGAAGGAAGGTTGGGCAAACTACTTCCGAAGCAATACTGCCTCGGAAACCCAAGGAGGGGTCGTTATGAGTCAGGTCTAACTCAATGGCAAATAACAACAATAGGGTTTTCAAGGCTGTGACCTTTTAGAAACAGATCATCAGGCCTGTCTTCCCCGGCACCTCTGGGTGGGTTTGAATCAGAAACCTTTCAGCTAATAGTTGAATGCTTAACTGTTTGTGCCACCCAGGGGCTCTCTGGCGGTCTGAGGGATGTCATAAAGTGGCAGGAAGGGCCAAAGTCATGGCTAGCATACATCCTTTCTCAGTGCCCCTCATTTCCTAACCTCAGTGTGGGTGTATATGTTGGACAGAGGCTTCTCACTTGCCTTAGGGAACCACATTTTCACCCTCAATAGTAATGGGTACAGTGCTTACCTCCACTGTAATTTCTTCTTTGACCTTCTCAGTCCTCCTAACTGCTTCTTGGGATGCCCAGTTCACGCGAACTGTCATTTACTCTGGGGGTAGTATAACCACTGGCTCTGTTTCAGAAAATCAACCACTTTCCTGGCATGACAGAAATCTGCCGCAAAGATCTGCTGGCACGGAACCTCAACCGCATGCAGAAAATCTATCCTACTGAGTACAACATCTTCCCCCGCACCTGGTGTCTCCCAGCAGAGTAAGTGAGACTGGCTTCACATGCTGAGACACTGGGGGAGGAAAGGGCTCACCATCTGAGTTCCCTCTAGACTCTGGCCTTGCCACCAAAGAATGGCTCAGAGGGATGGAAGTGGAATGAGAGCTTCAGCTGGTTAAAGAAAAGTGGGTCTGAGACCACGTGCTCTGCGAAGAGCAAGGAACAGATAGCAGGAAGAACGCTGTAGGGTCCAGGGATACTGTGGCATACAGAAACCTTTTGACCAGCCCCTCTTTGAACATAGCTATGGGGACTTCCAGTCTTATGGTCGTCAGCGGAAGAACCGCACTTACATCTGTAAGCCGGACAGTGGCTGTCAGGGACGGGGCATCTTCATCACCCGAAATCCCCGGGAGATCAAGCCAGGAGAGCATATGATCTGTCAGCAATACATCTCCAAGGTGAAGGGTGCCTCAGGACCACCAAGTCCCCCCACCCCCAGCATTGGGGTGTTTGCCTCTTCCAAAGCCAGGGGGGAGCCAGTTTTATGCCTCTACCCTGTTATCCCTGTTATCTTGGAGACAGAAGAAAGCTAGCCTCCCTGGATTTGAACCTCAGCTTTTTCACATCCTAGATATTAGACCCTGAACAAATTTCTTATTCTTTCTGTACTTCAGTTTCCTCAATTGTTAAATGTGAATAATAGTAACCCCTTTATATGGTTAATGTGAAAATGAAATGAGTTATTATATATTTGTAGCACTTAAAAAGTGTGTGGTATACAGTAAGTACTTCAGAAGTGTTGTTATTCTTCCTTATGGGTTTGCACGCTCTCAGCCATTCCTCATTGATGGCTTCAAGTTTGACATGCGAATCTATGTCCTGATCACATCCTGTGACCCTCTTCGGATCTTCATGTATGAGGAAGGCCTGGCCCGCTTTGCCACCATGCCCTATGTGGAGCCCAACATTAACAACCTGGTAAGGGGGTCAGGGTGGCACCCTCTTCTCTACCATGGCCATGAGTGCTAAGGTTCTAGGGAGAAAGCAGGAAGAGAGGCTTGTCACTGTCACTCATGAACAAGGAATGAAGCCAGGAAGAGAGCTTCCCACCAGGCTGGAAGGAGAGCACTTGGTGGGTGGTAACTGAAGAAGGTCATCACCTGGAGGAGTCTGGCACACACTCTTCCCCAAGAACTTAGAGGACAGTCCTCGGGTGAAGTTAGAAAATTATTTCAAAGCCTAGGGGGATAGGAGAGAAACCATGCTGGCAAGTGATGGGCAATAAAAGGCAACAAAGGGCTGGAGAGGAGTGCTGTAGAGAAGCAGTCTGAGAACACAGGACCACTCTTTTCACAGGATGATGTTTGCATGCACCTGACCAACTATGCTATCAACAAACACAATGAGAATTTTGTCCGTGATGATGCTGTGGGCAGTAAGAGGTACTCCCTACTCCGTTTTCTTCTGCTTCCTCTACCTGCTGAGCCCACATTCTCAACAGCCCATGAAACTGAGCTCTTAGGAGGCTAATTACACAGGAAAACTTGGCCTTTACAGACCCTTGTCCTATGCCTGTCCTCCAATTGCTGCCCTAAATCTCACCTTGATAACAAATGCCTGATCCAGGCTGCTTTGTTGTTGTTGTTGCCATACAGTCAGTCCAACTCATGGTGACCTCATGTGTGGGGTTTTCAAGGCTGTGGCCTTTCTGAAGCAGATCATCAGGTCTGTCTCCCAGAGTGCCTCTGGGTAGGTTTGAACTGCCAATCTCTCAGCCAGTAGTAGAGCACTTAACTGTTTGCATCACCCAGGGATTCCCAAAGCTGCTCCAAAAAAAAAAAAACCTCCAAGCTCCCTTTAAAGCAGAAGGTCCTAGGCATGAGATTCAGGATAGTATCAGGGAGCCCCCTACTTTAGCCAGGTTCACTGGCATAGAAACTAGCCTTCCTCTGAGCACTGGGCCTCACAGGAAGCTGTCAACACTCAATGCCTGGCTGCGAGAACATAGCTACGACCCCCGAGAGCTGTGGGGGGACATTGAAGACATCATCATCAAAACCGTCATCTCGGCCCATTCTGTTCTTCGCCACAACTACCGAACCTGTTTTCCCCAATATCTGAGTGGAGGTACATGTGCCTGTTTTGAGATCCTTGGTTTTGACATCCTGCTGGACCACAAGCTGAAGCCCTGGCTGCTGGAGGTGAGAATTATCTCTTGGGCTTTGCAAAACCAAGGTTCAGAGGCCTCCCTGAACAGGACATCTGAGATAGGAGTGGATACAGGTGGTGGAAGATCAGCCCTGGGGTGGATGGGAACACTTGGTGATTTACCAGTAGAAGACATAAGATCACTACATTTTTGACCTTCTGAGTCAAATCTTGGTAGTCTCTGGTCTGCATCAAGAGATTTCATCTTTAATCCTATGTGCTCCCAATATAAACCTTGCATTTAAGGACATTCTGTCTTTAGAGTTAGGCTATCTGATTTTCTTTCACCAGCCTGTGAATTGGTGGGATCTCTATGGCAGAGTCCTGTCTTGGAAGCAGAGCATCTGGTCTCCTTGGCTGAGGCCACTGGACAGGGATGTCTCTCCTAGGGTGAGGCCACTGGAGGGGGATGTCTCTCCTAGACCCTCCAGTTAGGCCTAAAAGAGACTACCACCTGCTCAAGTGGGCTAGGAAGGGGGTGGGTAACAACTCCTCCTGGCAGGTAAACCACTCTCCAAGCTTCACCACGGACTCACGTCTTGATCGAGAAGTGAAGGATGCACTTCTCTGTGATGCCATGATCCTTGTCAACCTCCGAGGCTGTGACAAAAAGAAGGTGCTAGAGGAGGACAAGCGCCGAGTCAAGGAGCGGCTTTTCCAGTACCACCACCATCCACGAGAAGCCAGGTGCTTCAGGTGTACAGCATGTGTTTAGTTGTGTGATTTTGCCTTCTTTCACTCCTAATAGTAGAAGTCCTGTTCTAGATGGAGGATGAGGCCTGAGGCTAATTAGCTACTTAAAATAATTTTTTTTTGTTGCATAGATTATACATTCACATGATTCAAAATTCAAAAGATACAGTGAATATCTATCTCCCAACCCTTTCCTCTAGCTATACAGTTATCTTCCCTGGAGCCAATCATTGTTCCTAGCATCATTTTTATATTTTCAGAAACATTTAATGTGCATACAACACATATTTATAAAAATTATTTTTCCCTTTATCTACCCAGACAATAGCGTAACTTGCACTCTTCTGTATCCTGCTTAGCAATGTATTTTAGAATTTATTTCACATAAAGACATAAGGAGCTTTGTGTAGTTTGATTAGGTTTTTTTTTTTTTTTTTTTAATAAAGCTCTTATAGAAACTGGTTTCTGAGAAAAGCTTATAATAATGAAACAGAGGAAAACAGTTTAGTTGTTCAGAGATAGGGGACTGTTTAAAGCAGTGTTGATAATCTATTGTTTTAATTGTGGGATGGGTTCCAAACATAGGAGTTATTACCAATACTAAAATTGTAACTTGGTAATGATACATAAAAATGAACTGGAGTAGATTTAGGGTTATTCCTATAATAACATCATTTTTTCCCCCTTCTTACATGCCAGTATCCAGAGAGAGAGTATATTTGGCTCATTATAATATCCTTCAGGCCTGGCACACAGTAGGCACTCAAAAATTTGTGGAATGAATGGGAGTGAAATATAACAATAAACGCCCTGGGTATTTTCCATGACATGGGGCTGTGCACATCACTGTCATGAATCATGTCTTTCAAAGGGGGAAAAAGGTTGAAAACTAACCGAACTAAATCAAAGTATAATCATCCACTAAAATACCAGACAGTCATTTAAAAATATTAGTATATGGTTACATTTTCATTATGAAAAGGATAAGGGCAAGAAAGAAAGAAAAAAAAAAAAGAATATGTTAGTAAATGGAAAAACCAGGATTCAAACTCAGGAGATCTGCCTTAGAGGCCATATGCATAACCAATATGCTAACTGCACAGTAAGATTATAGGAATTTTTTTTTTCTTTTTTTATGCTCCTCTAAATATTCTGTGGGGAGCTCTGGTAGCATAGTGCCTAAGGCACTTGACTGCTAACCAGAAGGCTGGTGGTTCAAACCCACCAGCCACTCCTATGAAGGAAGATGGGGCAATCTATTTCCATAGTGACACTGCCTCAGAAACCCAAGGAGGGGTCGCTATGAGCCGGGTCCGATTTGACGGCACATACCAACCAACAATATATTCTGTGATGAACATGTAATACTCTTATAACCAGAAACCTAAAAGATTGTGATAGCTTGGAGTGCTAGCTTTTAAGTGAACTCCTCTGCACTTAAAGAGTTTTGGAAATCAAACCTTTTTTCATGACTGTACACAGGTGAGGCTGGCCAAAGACTGGCTTGGCAACTTCCATCACATGCGCAGGCAGGGGCCTAGAAAGCCATGAAGTTAGGAGGACATTCTCAAAGCCTTAGCCAGTCTACCTTTCCTTACTGAACATTCTCATAGTCCTCCTCTGCCTCACTCTGAGCCTGGTTTCCACAGGAAAGAACAAATTCAGTTGTGCCATGCAGCAATGGTGGACCAGGAACGATACGAGGATTCCCACTTAGGGGGATACCGAAGGATCTACCCTGGGCCTGACACAGAGAAATATGCACCCTTCTTCAAACACAATGGCTCCCTCTTCCAGGAGACTGCTGCTTCCAAAGCCAGAGAAGAGTGTGCTAGGTACTTTGCCCAAGTACCTAGGCCTGTAATCCCTGGATTCTCCTCTCTGTACACTTACAACAAAAACCAAACTCACCGTTGTCGAGTCAGATTCGACTCACAGCAACCCCTCCTTGGGTTTCTAAGGCAGTGTCACTATGTAAGTAGATTGCCCAATCTTCCTTCTGAAGAGTGGCTGGTGGGTTTGAACCGCCAGCCTTCTGGTTAGTAGTCAGATGCCTTAGGCACTATGCCATCAGAGCTCCTTCTGTACACTTGAGTGGGGCAAATATAGGGAAGGGTGGGGCAGAGCCAGATACTTGAAGGAAGAGGAATAGAGCTATAAATCCTGTCAGACTCCTGACTTATTCAGTGTAATAGTTTCCTCATCTTCTCCTTATTTCTCTTCCATCAGTCCCAAGAACAGATCATAATTTCCTACTCTTTCCCTATCCCCATTTTTCCTCACTCCCTTTTCCCCAACACAATTTCTCCAGTGTCTGAAGCACCTCTGTCTTGTCAGGCAGCAACTGGAAGAGATCCGCCTCAAGCAGGAACAGCAGGAGACCTCAAGCAGTAAGAAGAGAAAAGAAAAGGACCAGAACCAGGGGGAGTCAGCAGGGGAAAAGAGCCGATCCAGGGCAGGGCTCCGAGGCCTTTCCACCCACTTGATTTGCAGGAACCGGATCCAGGAGAAAGAGGTGTCAGAGGTTTTATGGCTCTTACTTTTTTGCAGGAAAATAGGTTAGCACTATTAGAAAAGGGAATTTGCTGTCCCCTCTTCCACTTGCACAAGACAGATGAGTAAATCTGACCTTTTGAAACAGGAGGTAAGAGAATGGATACCAAAGGGTCAAGAGTAGCAGAGAATGAGTGATGTGGGAACCATACACCAAGATCAGGGAAGGGACAGAGGTAGAAAGCACAGGGATCCTGTAGCCATTCTTGCTGATAATTTAGAACTCATCCTTGGAGATCCTGCATTTATCATTCATGTTCCTTGTAGCTGCCATCAGTACAGCTGGACACCACGCAGCCTCAAGAAATTGTGGAAGAGGAGGAGCTGGAGCGGATGAAGGCCTTGCTGCAAAGGGAGAATCTTATTCGAAGCCTGGGTATTGTAGAGCAGCTCAACCGCATGCTGCATCCCAGCCATCGGGGCCAGAAAAAACTACATGAGTATCGGGTGAGGGTCCCTACACAGCCTCTCACCCAACAAGGGAACAATGGCTGTGATATTGGTACATGGTGGTGGTCACATCACAGGAGGTTAATGTGATGGTATCTGGCAGTGTATATTGGGCCTTGGGAGAGGGTCTGTTGGTTCTTTTTGCATCTGCTCCCAAGCTTCCTTGTGCAACTTGAGAAACCAACCAAAGTGTAGTTCCCAACTTCCTCACTTACAAGAGATTTGCTCTGTATATTCCACAGTAATGCAGAACTATTTACTGACAAATATCAAGGCCACTACCCCTCCTCAGTGGCTTCTGTGTAATTCTCTCCCTAGCATTGCCAGTGCCCTGGTTCTAGTGGGAGATAAGTAAACAATCTTGGGCCAACAAAACAGCTGCTGTATTCACTATTCCCTGGGCTAGTAGCAAATCCATCTGAGCTCTCTGTTCTGTTGAGCCCCAAAGGAGTAATGGGTTAAATAGTGACTTCAGCCTAGAAAAGACTTTTGTTGTTAGCTATTTCTTCCAACTTCCATTCAACCTCATAAGAAATGTGGTAAGGGGCTGCTCTTCTCCTCTAGGCTAGATTTCACCAGGACGGGCTGGGCAGTCAAGAATTGCAATCTGTGAATCTGGTCCCACTGGTGTTCTTGAGAGGGGCCGGCACAGAACAGGGCCTTCCTCATTTCCTGCATCCAGTTCGGCCCCACGAATCGGTTCCCAGGATTTTAGGGCCACTGTCAAGCATGAATGCTGCAGTTGCCCATCATTCCCAGTACTGTCTACAACCCAAGAACTTTAACTGGATAGGAGATCTAGCAGCCAGAGGGTCCTGTTCACTGTCAGTGAAGAAATCTGGGAGGTGCTATTTTTCCAACGCCCGAGTTGGGCTTGCTAGCCGTAAGTATACAAAACTAGCTTTGATCACTTTCACTTGTGTGAATCGCCACTAGCTAATATTACAGCTCGGATGCTCCCAAAATATAGCACTTCAGGGAGTGTGGGAATGGGGAAGGTAAATGGGACCCATTTATTTACTCCCTACTAGGCTCTGGTGATAGAAATGGCAGAAATACAATCCTAGCACTCAACAAATGTAACATGGAAATAGACAAGTAAACCCACCAATGGGTATACAGAGTGGTAAAGACTCTGGAGGGAAGCGTGAGATGCCATTTCTCTGTGTCCGGCCACAGTTAGGGAAGAGGTGAGACAAATCTCTTCTGTGAGTACCAACTTAGGGGGGACTCATGTTTCCACTGCAGAAGGACAAGCCAGCAGAAGGCTAGAAGCCATACACCGTGCCCTGGCAGGATCAGTGCCACCCTCTTTAACCCCAAAGCAGGGCTATCTTCTGCACCCGGAAAGAATGGCAAATGACTCATGGACTGGCTGCACCTTGCCCTCCATGGTAGACTCTGAGAACAAAGCAGTCAAGGCGCGAGACCTCACCCTCTGCCCTGCCTCTGCACCTCTGCTGCAGCGTTCGAGTGCACTCTTCAACATCAGCCACCACAGGTAAAGAGCAAGAAGGAAGCCCAGGACTCAGTGTCTCCTGGACAACCCACTTAGGTTTCCAGTGGAGCAAAGGATCTTTGCTACATGAAAGACTGCCAAGCTCCAGCTTGAAACGCCCTGGCCAGGAACCCTGTTTGCATAAGGCAAAACATAAAGATGCCAAGACTCCCTCTACACCCTAGGATTATTTTGGGATCGGTAAAGACTAAAAGATGAAGAGAAGCCAAGGCCACCATGTACTCATCTGACCCCTTCAAGCGTTTGCCCGGGTTTATCGCTAGGTGATGGGCCTGAACCCTGGGTACGGACCGGGGGTGAAGATCATCTCGGCCTACAAGAAGCCTCTTTTCCAGAGGCGCCGGGTGCCCAAAGCATGGGGCTGTGGCTCTCTGGAGGAGACCGCTGAGGGTATGGCCCCGCTAGCTTCTGTGGCAGAGGCAGATAGACTGGCCTGGGCAATGGGGGCGGTTCTTGGTAACTGAACCCGTCTTTTTTTATTAAAGTTCTATACCGTTTTCTAGGCTCCTCCGGTACTTTACTCTGGCCTTCGCATTTCAGTGAAGCCCTCTCCACAGTTACCACCAGGAATTGTGGGCCCTTCAACTGTTAAAAGCCCACATATCCCCGCCCTCATCCTGA